ACCATTAGTTCGCTTCATTGGCTCGTGACTCTTGGAGACTCCTTGCCAAGTTTTGCAGATATCGGCCTGGCAGCTCTCCAAGCCAGAGAATGTCTGTGACTGTAAATCCTCCCTTGAAAGACTTTGCTGGATGTGAATGAGCAGAATTCAGTCAATTAATAAAAGGGGTTTTTGTCGGGACCAGGAGTTTACTGCATGCTCTTGGGAAGCCTCGGTCAGAAGAACAGTAACCCAACTGCAAACTTCAAGGAGACATTTCTTTCCAAGGTCCCCTCTAAAAACAGAAATTTTGCCCCTGACAGCTATTTCCAAGGAACCCCTGAGGAAAACGGTCCAGCCGTCTGCTAAGAGTTGGCCATCTTGGTTGCCAATCTTCTTGTGATTTGTGGTGCTTTGGAATGGAAGAAACCCACCTCAGGGACATCAGAAGCTCCATACTGTATTATTCGCCAAGGGTGCTTCCCTCCCACACCAACGTGTGTCTTTATGTTTATCTTTTTCTAGACAGTAGCGGATTGTGTTCTCTACTACTATTTGACCAAGAAGAATGAGAACTACAAGAACTTGGTGAGAAGGAATTACCGCAGGCGAGGAAAGAACCAGGTAAGGAAACTTTCCTAGTGGGAAGCGGGAAGCGTCTAAGGACTCGGTGAGATCAAGCAGTAGCATCTTGTAGGGCTTGTAGGCTTTGGTTCTAGGGTTTTAGAGTGGTTGTAGGCCTTGGTTCTAGGTTCTATGGAGGCTGCCACAAAGAAGAGGCAGTCAAACTATTCTCCAAAGCTTCCTAACAGTGAGGACAATGAACCAGTGGAACAGTTTGCCACCAGAAGTTGTGGTTATTTCATCACTGGAGGTTTTTAAGAAGAGACTGGAAAGTCACTTGTCTGAGATGATAGAGGGTCTCCTGCTTGAGTAGGTGGTTGGACTATTCTATTCTGTTCTGTTCTATATTCTATTCTATCTTCTCTTTTCTTCCCCTACTCTACTCATTCTATTCCATTCCATTCCTAGTTCTGTTCTTTTTGTTCTGTTCTCTTCTACTCTACTCTCCTATTCTATTCTATTCTATTCTATTTCNTCCCACTTTACAGTGCTTTACACTGCTTTACAGTCCCCTCTAAGCGGTTTACAGAGTCAGCCTCTTGCCCACAACAATCTGGGTCCTCATTTTACTCACCTTGGAAGAATTGGTGGAAGGCTGAGTCAACCTTGAGCTGGTCAGGATTGAACTCCTATCAGTCAGCAGAATTAGCCTGCAATACTCCATTCTAACCACTACACACCATAGAAGGAAGGAAGGAAAGAAGGAAGGGAGAGCAATAGCAATAGACTTATATACTACTACTTAGTGCTTTACGACCCTCTCTAAGCAGAGTCAGCCTCTTGCCCCCAACAATCTGGGTCCTCATTTTACCCACCTTGGAAGGAGGGAAGGCTGAGTCAGTCAGAGTTGAAGGAAGGAAGGAAGGGAGAGCAATAGCAATAGACTTATATACTACTTTTTAGTGCTTTACGGCCCTCTCTAAGCAGTTTACAGAGTCAGCCTCTTTCCCCCAACAATCTGGGTCCTCATTTTGCCCACCTCAGAAGGACAGAAGGCTGAATCAACCTTGAGTCTTGTGAGATTCAAACTGCCGAACTGCAGTCATTCGGCAGTCAGCAGAAGTCACCTGCAGTACCCCATTCCAGCCACTATGCCACTGTGGCTCACCACCAACCACCAACCAGGAGCATTCGATGGCCATCAACCCTTGATTTAACCTTTTGGAAGTCCTCCCCATTCATTTGCCAATTGGCCTTTGTAAGAGGAGACCTGAAGCCAGCTGGATTCTCCCGACCTAGGGAAAACCCAGGTGGAGCTACGTTCTCCAACGTTTCTTGTTTCAGTGTGGTTGTTGGCACAATCAACATTTGGCCGGATCAAGGCAAAACCCTGTCAAATCCAACCCGCATTTGTTCTTTCATGGGTAGCCAGATCTATCCAGGAAGTCCACCAGCAGGAAATAAGCTCTGTGGTCCTCTCCTGTGCCATGGTCCTCAGTTCTCCGAGGTGGATTTCCTCAATGTCTGGAGGTTCCCATTACTCTTACATCTTTACAGATAAACATCGAAGAATTAACACTTCATGTGATCATGATTCTATCCCCCTAGACTGCATAAACAGGGATAGAATCAAGATCACGTGAAGTGTTAATACCACTTTATAATGCCTTGGTAAGGCCACACTTGGAATACTGCATTCAGTTTTGGTCGCCATGATGTAGAAAAGATGCTGAGACTCTAGAAAGAGTGCAGAGAAGAGCAACAAAGATGATTAGGGGATTGGAGACTAAAACATATGAAGAACAGTTGCAGGAACTGGGTATGTCTAGTTTAAGAGAAAGAAGGACTAGGGGAGACATGATAACAGTGTTCCAATATCTCAGGGGCTGCCACAAAGAAGAGGGAGTCAAACTATTTTCCAAGGCACCTGAGGGTAGAACAAGAAGCAATGGGTGGAAACTAATCAAGGAGAGAAGCAATCTAGAACTAAGGAGAAATTTCCTTAGACAGTTAGAACAATTTATCAATGGAACAGCTTGCCTCCAGAAGTTGTGAATGCCCCAACACTGGAAGTTTTTAAGAAGATGTTAGATAGCCATTTGTCTGAAAGAGTATAGGGTTTCCTGCCTAGACAGGGGGTTGGACTAGAAGACCTCCAAGGTCCCCTCCAAGGTCCCTTCCCTGCTATTGTATTGTAAGGCATTTAATTTTGTTGTACAAGGTGCAATGACAATAAAGTAAACTAACTAACTAACTAACTAACTAACTAACTAACTATGAGACTTAACAGCAGATGGACAAAAGTCCTCCTTCTTGCCATCCCATTGACCACGTTTTCTGATTTGTCGTCTTCTGAAAGTCTCGGGTTGGGGTTCCCCCCCCCTGCTCCTTTTATTCTGCTTCCTCCCAAGGCCCTGTCCTCTTTTCCTTCCCAGAATCTGGAGAAACAGATGCGCCAGCTTGCTGTCATCCCGCCGATGCTGTATGATGCGGAGCAGCAGCGCATCAAGTTCATCAACATGAACGGGCTGATGGACGATCCCATGAAGGTCTACAAGGACCGGCAGGTGATGAATATGTGGAGTGAGCAGGAGAAGGAGACCTTCCGAGAGAAGTGAGTGGAGCCAATGCCTTGGCTGACCTTGAGGGGGTAGGCTAAGAGTGGGGGAAGGTCTTCCAGGAGGAGGGGGGGATGACATCTGTGGGCAACCTCACATGCCTTCCTGGTTTGGAAGTCATCAGAACGGTCACTAAGTGAATGGTTGTTAGTCAAGGACTATCTGCATTAGAAGTTTATTTCATGCTACGTATACACAGGAGGTTCAGATTAATGGCGTGTAAAGGGACCTTGGAGGTCATCTAGTCCAACACCCCACCCACCCCCCAGCAGACCCTACCTACATCATTTCTGACAGATGGCAGTCCAGTCTCTTCTGGAAAGTCTCAAGTGATGAAGCTCCCACAATTTCCGAAGGCAATTTCTATTCCATGGGTTGATTGTTCTCACTGTCAGAAAATTCCTCCTTATTTCCAGGTTGAATCTCTCCTTGTGCAGCTTCCATCCATTAATTCTTGTCTGGACTTCAAGTGCTTTGGAAAACAGGTTGAGCCCCTCCTCTCTGTGGCAGCCCCTCAAATATTGGAAGATGCTCTCCTGTCTCCCCTGGTTCTTCTCTTCACTAGACTAGCCATGCCCAGTTCCTGCAACTGTTCATTGTATGTTTTAGCCTCCAGTCCCCTCATCATCCTGGTTGCACTTTTTCTAGAGTCTCAACATCTTTTTTATAGTGTGGGGACTAAAACTTGATGCAATCTATTCTAGGTGTGGCCTTACTAAGGCTTTATTAATACTGTCTTAACTCTCTTCACCCCCAATGTGCATTGCCCATCATGAGAAATTTGGGGAAGCTTTTCATCTCTGATTGGGTAGATCCCTGGAGATTATTATATAGGTACTCCTCAATTTACAACAGTTTATTTAGTGACCATTCCAAGTTAGAACGGCAGTGAAGAAAGTGACTTAGGAACATTTTTCACAGTTACGATCTTTGTAGCAAAGATCGTGCGATGGAAATTCACATGCTTGGCAACTGGTTCATACTTACGATGGTTGCCATGTCCTGGGGGTGTGTGTCATGCAATCCCTCCCCTTTTGCGACCTTCCAGCAAGCAAAATCAAGCAGGAAGCCGGATTCACTTAACAATTTGTCCCCCGCGGTGATTCACTTAACAAGAAAGGTTGTAAAATTGGGCAAAACTCACTTAATGAATGACTCACTTAACAACAGGAGTTTTGGGCTCAGATGTGGTCATCACATACCACAATTGTCTCTGTAGAATACCGGTAGTCCTCACTTGGCAACCATTGGAAGTTACAATGGACCTCCCAAAAGCTGCTTGCGACCCAGTTCTGGAGTTCTGACAGCTCCCCACATGATCACATGACTCCCTGGCCATTATGGCCACTTGCACTCATCCACGGTCCCAATTTCTAACAATTTTTTGCCGTTTCATAGCTTTTCTGCTGGATTCGGACAAAAAACAGCGACCATGGATTCACTTAATGACCATTTTCACTTAGTGACCACAGCATTCACTTGATGACCACCACAAAAAAACCTCATAAAAATCAGGTCCAGTCCTATGGGTGACTCTAAACTGCAAGCATCCTTACAGTGGAAATTCTGGCCTCCATTATGGGCATAAGCTGAGGACCACCTTCCCAGCCCAGCTGTTGCTTCTGATCATGTAACAACTCCATAATCCCTTGTGGGGTGGAGTCTGGGCAACTGAATGGAGCTAGCAAAGTCTTTTAATCGCCAGATGCCTTTCTTGTCGCCAATGCTGAGTTTTGTTCAGCTGATGTATTTTCAGTGTGCCCAGAGTGAGAAATATCTGCCTCTACCCAGGATCAAACTCACGGCCTCCTGATTGTGAGGTGACAGCTCCACCTCTAGGCCACCGCACCACTCCCTAGCTCTTACTTCTGATGGTTATGTAGAACGAAGTTGCCTTCATGGTCAGTTTCTTAATCGTTCCTTTGGTTCTTCTACTTGCAGGTTCATGCAACACCCAAAGAATTTCGGTCTTATCGCCTCCTTCCTGGATAGGAAAGTAAGTGGATATATTTTTTACTTCTTTCTCACAATGCCCTTTTGAGCAAAGAATAAGCTGGACCTTCCGTGAAGAAGTTTTTGGATTTTTTTGGTTGTCTCCCCAAGTTGCACTTATCAAAACAGTTGTGGCCAGCAGAGCTGGCAGCAGATTCGGACACTGAGGAGGTTGGGGAGGAACATGGGCCAGTCCTGGAGTCTGGGGAAGGCTCTGATGAGGGCTCTGTGTCGGAGACAGAGAGGAGGCCAGGGCCGTCCGATAGTGATCAGCTGCCTTCGGAGTTGGACATCAGTGGGGCAGATGAATAGCTGGAGCCTGTTCCCAGTGTGCGCAGGAGCAGAGTTGCCAGATGAAGGGAACAGCTAAAGAACAGGGTCGACTTGGGAATAAGGCCACAGGTGGACGATGAATGGCCCCTCCCAGAGGACATAAAAGAGGAGCGAAAGGGGAGTGGAGTTTGCAGGAGACCATTAGTTCGCTTCATTGGCTCGTGACTCTTTTAGACTCCTGGCCAAGTTCTGCAGAGATCGGCCTGTCAGCTCTCCCAGCCAGATAAGGTCTGTGACTGTAAATCCTCCCTCGAAAGACTTGGCTGGGTGTGAAGGAGCAGAATTCGCAGTTGTTGGGAATATAATCTAATGGTTGATTTAAACGCTCTGTTTCGTTAGATGCTGGGCTGATCTGATCTGAGTGTTTTGGAAGCCGGCTGTTAGAAAGTGCCGTGAGCTATTGTAAGTTTTGCAACTGTTAGCAAACTTTGAGTCCCGNAGAAATTTCCTGACAATTAGAACAATTAATCAGTGGAATAACTTGACTCCAGAGGTTGTGAATGTTCCAACACTGGAGATTTTTAAGAAGATGTTGGATATCCATTTGTCTGAAGTGGTGTAGGGTTTCCTGTCTAGGCAGGGGGCTGGATTAGAAGACCTCCAAGGTCCCTTCCAACTCTGCTATTCTATTTTCTGTTCTGTTTCTCAGAAAGCATCATTAGACCATTTGCGCATGCAGACTTCATCTTAAGTTCAAGAATAGCCTGGGGTTGGGAGGGAAGGCAGGAGGAATTGGCCCACCTTCCTCAAGCTTGTGGGGTCCTTGCAGTCGTTTCATGACCCAATTAGGTTACATCATCAGTGCTAGAAAGGAGTGTGGTTTCCAGGGAGGAGGAGGAGGAAGACTGTGGGGTCCTTGGTGCTCTCTGAGCTTGGTGGTTTTCTTGCACACATTTCATGACCCAACTAGATTACATCATCAGTTACATTTAGGTTACTAGATAATTAGGCTTGATAATTATATATATACCTCCAGGTAATATCATCAGCCCCTGATAATGTTACCTAGTTGGGTCATGAAATGTCTGCAAGAAAACCACCAAGCTCAGAAAGCACAAAGGAGCCTACAGTCCTTCACCTCCTCCACTCCATTCTGTAAACCCCCTTCCCTTCTAGCACTGATGATATCACCTAGTTGAGTCATGAAACATCTGCCAGAAAACCCCCGAGCTCAGAGAGCACCAAGGACCCCACCGTTCCACCCTGAGCTACAGCTGAGATCCTCTATTGGCTTCCTTCATCCCTCGACATAGTGATTTAAAAATTACAGGCAGGACAAGTGCTTGCAGAAACTTTCTGGATGGATGTAGAGACTGGATGAATTGGAAACAGCCTTTCTACGAGGAAACTCGCACCATGCCAAGATGGAAGAGTGGGGGGAAAAAGCCCAGTGAAAAATGGATGGGTGGATAACCACATGTTGCTATGTGTCTTGGATTAACCAACAAATACTATTAGATGACTAATGGAGAGCTGGCAACACAAGCATTCTTCTAGGTTTATCCTCCCATTTCCTTCCTGTCTTAGTCAACATGGCCAGGAGCGAGGGACAGGAGGAGCTGTCAGTCATGAGAGACTATCCAACTACTCAGAGGGTCAATCATGAAAAATGGAGGACCATCTCTTTGAAAGGGTCCAGAACTGCCCAACTACTCAGAGGGTCAGTCATGAAAGATGAAGAACCATCTCTTTGAAAGGGTCCAGATCTACCCAACATCTACCCAAGTATTTAGATGAATATTTAAGTTAGGGTTAAGGTAGTTTTAATAAAGTTTTGGTTGAGGCAGCAGATTTTGGGGTAGGTTTAATTGCAGGTTTGAAGTCTACTTGGGTTGTTTGGTGGTTTAGCTTTGTTACCTACGCATACACACACACACACACACACACACACACACACACACCACATTGCAATAGCAGATTGTGTGACCTAAGTCTACTCCTTAAGCCAGATGAAGTTAGGATGGTCAGTCGATCGGTGGATCTCAAACGAGGGCGGTTTAGGATCGAACGGGTTGTGTGAATGCAAGTTGTTGCATCCCTCCTAGGGCAGAGGATCTCCAACCTTGGTGAATTTTAAGTCTGGCGGACTTCAACTCCCAGAATTCCCCAGCCAGTTTCGCTTTGCTGGCTAGGGAATTCTGGGAGTTGAAGTCCACCAGGCTTAAAGTTGCCAAGGTTGGAGATCCCCTGCTGTAGAGAAAATTGCAAATTTGCAANTAATATAGAAGTAAAGGGTTCTAAGAGGCTGTCCAGCCTGACCCAGTAGGTTTCACACTTAATATCCAAATCTCACTTTACAGCTACTTTAAAAGAGCATAAGAAATAATGGAATATGAAAATAAGGAAGATTGCAAATGTGCAAAAATCTTTCCAAAATCATTGCTTTTGGAAGAGATCTGGATGAAGTCATTTTAATTCTTTGTGAATTGCAGACATCTGTACTGAACAAGGAGCAGAAATCATTATTTTTCTAGCTTCACCTAATGGGGTTGAGTTTAATCTGAACAGTTGGCAGCTGGTCTCTTACAATAATAATTTTCTTCGATCTTATGGATATTTAGGATGTTCTGACCTTCTGCAAACTTTCCAGCAATGCTGTTGCAAGGCTTTAAAATAATCGTCAAGCCAAGTAAGTTTGCAGGTAAAAGTATTATCTGTGGGTGAAAAGCATTGCCAGAATAGACAATCGCCAGATGCTAGTTGCACAACACAACAAACAACCCCAATTCTAAAGAGTGATGCATCCAGTCAAATGTCATTTCCAATTTGCCCATCTTCAGGAGATGGTAATAAATTTTCATTACAGAAGTTGTCCATTCTGTTCACAGTCACCAATCCCCGATTCTCCCTTTTCTTTTCAACCAAGCAACGTTCAGATTTGCTTAACTGTTGAATGCCAATGGAGCTGATTTATCAGATGCATTGCATAACCAGGTACCCAGCCCTGAGAGAACCTGCCTCCAGAGCAAAGGAACGGAGAGAGGCTGACAACAAGATACTTCGTCCGAATTCTCCAGCCTCCGTTATTCAAAGCTTTAAGATCGCTAAGCGCTGACTTAGAAAACTGACGGTGGCAAGAGCTTTTCATTCAATGAGAAAACCGAGCCCCAAAAAACAAGCAGCGAGGGGACTTCGCCGGCGAAGTTAGACAGATTGAGGATCTTCGCCAGACAAGTAGTGGGAAGACTTCGGAATCCTTTCCTTCGCGCGATCGCCCGAGATGATGTAAAGCGATCCGAAGGGGCAGATGGAAAAAAACAACAACACGTGGGAAGAAGGGCCGGGGGTTATTTCGCCGGGGCTGGTTTATCCGGCGTTTCGCCATTGGACCTGTGGCTCTCCGCCGCCCACGCATGGCTTTCTGGCCGGCGGCGGTCGCGTAAACTTTTTCAGCCCCTCTTCCCCCGCCTTGCCTTTCCTCCCCCTCCCCACCCGTGGAGGCTTTACAAAAGCTGGTTGAGCCACTCCGGGCACGGATGGCTTTCAGAGAGAGGGGAGAGGGCTGGTTGACATAGTAACTCCGTCCTTTTTATCCCCCCCCCCCTTCTCTCTCTCTCCCTCGGTGGCTATCCGCAGGCTCGGCGAGGCGGAGAAAGCCGCCTGCTTTGGACCGGAGGGGCTGAGGTGGGGGAGCTGGAAGCGAGGGAGACGTCCGCGAAGGTCCGCTGGGGGGCTCGCCCTTTGCTCTCCCCCGCCACGCAGAAACGACCTTCTCCAGCCCTCTTTTAAAATGGGGACGCTGCGCCACAGGTAGCCGGAGGAAAAGGCGACGAGCGCTTCGAGCCATTTTTTTTTAAATTAAAAACAACAACAATATTGGTTTTAAACAACGCCGGGCGCGCGGGCGGGCGCGCGTGTATCTCTTTTTCTCTCCGGGCGGCGCGCGCGCTCCTGTATTTTATTTTACTGAGGGAAAAAGGGGGGGGGGTTTCCCCCTTTGGGGCCCTCCTGAAGAAGAGGGGGGCTTTTTTTCCCCCCCGGGACCCCCCGCATCTCTTCTCCAGAGGAAGCGCCATGAGTCACAACCAGGTCTACGCGCCGCGGGGGAACGGCTCGCCGGTCNTCCAGACATTTTCCCCTATAAATAAATACCCGGGCAATGCCAGGTTATCACCTAGTACATTACCAAATAAAGAAAATACCCTTATATTAAAAATCCAAAAGTGATTCATGCAATGACGATGTCATTTCATATTTATGTAAGATGTTGGAGGGGTTTTGAAGCATATGTAGAAGTTTAATATAAATAGTGTAACAGTACGTAATCAATAGCTGTTAGTTATCACAACATGCACCAATATTTCGGACAGAGGTGATCTTACAGAAAGACTATTAGGAGGAAATACAGACCGAGCCAAAAAAAAAGAGTACAAGCTTCTTCAAGATTTATTTATAAAAAGGGTTATAAAATGTTAATCTTCGGTAGAAGGTCATGTTGACGAAAGGAACTTCTCTGAAGAAGATTCTGGAGGACTTGGAGAAACTTCTTCTCACATTATTCTGTTGCTAATCTACTTAGTCATCTTCTCGATCTCTCTCTTCAACAACATCCATCACATATTCTGTTGTCACCAGCCTTGACTTTCATGTTCTTTTCCACAGCAACCGACTCTAAGCTAATTGTGCCAGTCGGGCAAAAAAAGCTTTTATAGTACAGCTAAAGCATTTTTCTATGACTACATTTTACCTCTAGTTTACCGCTTTTAATTCAGCCTT